CATTTTCAATACTGAAATTAGGCACATTTTTTCACTTAAATTTCTACAGGTTAATTTTCATTCTTTTTTGACATTTTAAATTTTTTTTCCTACACTTGAAGACATGGTTGAAATGATCTGAGAATTCTATTGAAGAACCTATTTTTTTCTCAAGTCTTGTTTCTATTTTGACGGCTTAGACCTTTGCAAAGAACAACTAGCAGCGGAAGAGTATCACGCAAGCAGCAAAGTTGTTCCAATTCCGGCAGCTAAGTTGGAAGAGTTCATCAAGTTAATTCAAGAACAAGTGCAAACGGGATTATATGAAAAATCTACCTCAAGCTATTCTAGTCCGGTCTTTTGTGTTCTTAAGAGAAATAGGAAACTCTGAGTCGCTCACAATCTTCAGCCATTGAATAAATTCCTTATCAATAATGCTGGAGTTCCTGCTACTGAAGATTTTGTGGAGTTGTTTGCTGGACGTGCTTGCTATGGAATTGAAGACACTATGGGCAGATACAACCAGCAAGCTATAGATCCAACTTCCAGACAGACCTCTGACTACTTTTCATACCCCTCTTAGCCATTTTTAACTCACTTGGTTACCTCAAGGTGCTACAACCTTGGTTACTGTTTATCAAGCTTAGATGATGTGTATTTTACAAGACAGAATTCCAGATCATTCCGGAATTTTCATTGCTGATGGTGGTATCAAAGGGCCGGCTTTAATGATGAGCCTTTGTCTTGGAACCCTGAAATTCAACGTTTCATTTGGGAATATGCAGAAGTCCTAGAGCAAATCCTTTTCCATATTGAAGAATCAGGGTTGACAGTCTCAGCATCCAAACTAGCTGCTTGTGTTCCTTCTTTGGAGATTGCTGGTCATGTTTTCTGTAAGGAAGGTTGGTGAATGTCAAAGAAGAAATCAAATAGGATCCTCACTTGGCCCAACCCAGTCAATCCCACTGAAGGTTGTGGATTCTTAGGTTTGGCTGTATATGTTCAAATTTTCATCCCATCACTCTGCGAGATCTGCTTGCCACTCCGTTGCCTTACTCAAAAGGATTCAGTTTGGACTTGGATAGACAATTGCAAGGCGGCCTTTCAACTCCTCAAGAATATTGTTGGGAAAGGCATTTTTTTGGTCAAGATTGATTATGGACCAGAGGCAGGAAAAATCAAGCTTGCAGTTGATTCTAGTTTTCATGCTGCTGGTGCTGTTCTTACACAGGAAGATCAAAACGGTTTGTACCAGCCTGCTTTATACAAGTCTCTCTTGTTTTCAGATGGAAAATATAGGTACTCTCATCCCAAGCTGGAACTCTCAATCTTGTGGGGCCAGCACTTTGAACTTCAAGGTCCTGTTTGGCAGCGTCATAAATTTAGGTGTGATATTTCCTGATTAATTCAATCAAAAATAAACCAATGCAAAATATGTTTCAAAATTGTTACTCAGGTAAGTTCAATTACTGGTTTCATCAATGCTGCAAACAAACTTGATATCTTGGGCCATCTTGAGCCCCATAATATTGATTTTACCCTTTATATGGGTAAAAAGTGTAATATTGGTATTATGGTGCTGAAGATAACCCATTATCTCAACTCTGCCTGTACTCAAATTTGAAATCAGCATGGCCTTGCCCCAGTTAAAATTATATTACATATTTCTGAGTGGTTTATTTTATATTGAATTTATAAGGCAATATTACACCTGAATTTATGACACTGCCAAACAGGGCCCAAGTCAATGCACATTCCCTGATCCAGATGATCAATTCTCCCAGTCTCCCATGACTTGTTGGGTTGCCTTTATTCAGCTTTTCTCTTCATATTTTTCACTGACCTGGAAAATCTTTCACCATGCCGGACGGTGTGGTGGTGAGAGCACGCCGCGACCAAAGCTTTGGCCAAGTTGTTCGGGCGAGTGTGGAATGCACACGGCTGATGCGGAAAGCATGCAGAGCTGACACTACACGCGCAGGCTGAGGAAAGCGGCGGCGCACAATCAGAAAGTCTAGATTTCCGAGGAGCGGGAAAGCAAGTGAAAAGCGGGTTGAATGCACAAGGTTCTGAAAGCTTACTGTGGGGAATCCGGGCACTGGCAGACTTTGTGGTTCATGGCCGTCTGCGTACCGGGGTTAGTGTATACTGCGGAGGGGCTACAACTAAGCAGGGGCACTGAGAGGCGGAAGCGGGGTTCAGAGCGGCCAGACCAGTGGCGGAAGCGGTGGTGGGAGACCTGTCCAAATAGTGGCCGGAGTAGTAAACTGACTGGCGGGTGACGGAGTCGTGACAAGTGGGGTGCGAGGGAGTGACAGTGGAGGACAGTGTGGGAAGCAGGGGGAGAACATATGTGGGATAGCTGGCAGAGTTGGAGTTTGGAGTGGAAGAGGAGAGAGAGGAAGGGGGACTTATGACTCAGAACATATCAGAAAACAGAGTGACTTAGGAGTGAATTGTGTATTAGCCTAAAGAATTGTTAATTAGAGAAGAGTTAGAGTATTACCAAGCAAACAATAAAATAACAGTTACTTTTCCCTACCTACAAGACCATCAAGCAAGTTACCCCGGACAACAAACCAGAACAAGGATGTGTTGCGGAGCGGAAAAGTGCAAGAAATCTCCTAGGGTGCGCTTTTCTTTCCACACCGTCAATTAGGATGTTATACCTCATCAACCGGAAAGAATCCCCTCTGGCCAATGAGGATGTTGTACCTCATTTACCGGAAGGAAATCCTTCCGGTCATGGGAGCAACTACTCCCAAACCCCCTCAAGCATGAGGGGTGATTTGGGGCGCCAACTCCCTAAAAATAAATTAAAAAAAATATTAAAAAATTAAAAAAATAATTCAATGTTCGGTGTGGTAAGACCAATCAAAACTTTTTACATCTTTTTAGCAACTTTCTGGACCATTTTCACATCTTCTACATGACACTACAACACTCAACTCAACATACATATGTGATACATCCATGCTCACCTCCAATCATCCCAAAGACAATACCATCAGCTCCACAAGACTCAACAACCCATCAATAACACCCTACATGGATTACCAGCCTCACTTGGTAATAAAATAAGTATAAATCAGGTATAAAGTGGGAGAACACTCCAGAGAGCCAGACTGTTAAGAAAGACCCTTGCTCTTATTCATCCTTGTTCCTCTTTATTACATACCATGGCAAATTGTTACAGTAGCCACATATGTCATGTTTCCATTCCTGTTGCTTCAGCCTTGTTTCACCCTTGCTACATGTGTCCTTCCCAAGCCTGTCTCTTAAGCCATGTTCTTTCCTTGTTGCATGTACCCTGTGATGATGCCTTGCTTCTTGTTTTCTTATTTCCCCCCCCCCTCCAGAAGACTTATATGTAGTGCTCTCTTGGCCCTTGCCATTTGTTCCCCATCAGAGTTTTCATTATTACTCCCTGGTCATTGATTTAGCATTACTTACTTGAAATATATTTAGCATTACAGAATTATTTCACACAGATTTATTATCTTCATACCTTATCCTTTACATATCTTACATCTTCATATAGCCACACCTTTCCTTTAAGAGTCCATACTCTTATTTCTTGTTCTTCTTACTCTCCCAGTAGCCAGAGAGGCAGCCCTTCAAGAATTCATCCCTCTCCAAGCTCTATTCCTCCCAATATTAGTTCCACATTGGCCATCAGTTTGGAAGAACTACTCCCGCCCAATGACCCCTTGACCAAAATGGGAGTTGTCAACAAATGTTTGGGAGTCGTTTTTCCAACCCCCTATATTTATTTTTATACATACTTTTTTTTGAATGAAAGAAAGAAGAAAAAAAATCAAACTGTTGGAGCAGAGGCCAAAACTGGAACTGTAATTTGCCAAAACTTGGCACAGCGGCGGTACAAGCGCTGACAATAAGAAGTTGCTTGATTTTTCAGGGGTGATCAACTCTTCAATCCCTTGTTTGATCTCTTTGACTAATGTGATTTGGTTGGGTGGCTCCTTTGATTGTACGTAGGACTTGATTGAGTGGAAGCTGTACTCAATTGGGTTGAGGAAGGGGGAGTATGGAGGGAGGAATTCGAGTTTGATTGATTTTGAGGTCTCAAGCAATCTTTTAACCTCTTCAAACAGTTGCCTTGATGGATTGGGGTGTTGTCCATGATGATGATTGAGTTGTCAGGAAGACAAGCACCAAGGCTTACAAGGAAGAGGCAGAATTCATCTGCCCCTACCCCTTTTGCCTTGGTGTTGTCGGCATTGAGCAGTTTGTAGTAATCAAATCCCTCCACTGAGAGGGCCCCTATCAATGTCACCTGCTTAGCCTTGGGAACAAGGCTAAGCATTGCCAGCTGACCTGGAAATGATTAAAAACAAGATGCTCCAGCAATCCAAAAAAAAGAAATTAGAATTGCAAAAAAAGAAAGATAACATACCAGAGGGGGAATATCCAAATGCCCAACAGGAATGGAGATCAAATCCGGCCTCGTCAACAAAAACAACTTTTTGTCCTAGGTGCAAACCACGTTGGTTGACAAAGTTGGCTCCCTGCTCAATGAGATTTGGCTTGTTCCAGGAAGCAGTTATATCAATAACCTGTTTCCATGATATATCCATATCATGGATCAGGTTACTAATTGCCTGAGTTGAGACCTTGGTGTTGAATCACTCTAGGAGGAATTTCACCATCTCAGGGAGGGTAGTTGTTGATTTTTGATCAAGTTCCATGAAGATCTCTGTCTTCATGTCATCAGTAAGCTTTCTGGGACAATTTGCGCGGGTCTTCACTTGATTTGGATCCTCGGCCTTGATGCTTTGGAATTGGCGCCAAGAGACATTGGATGTCTTCATAGCATCGGCAATCTTCATTTCCTTGCCGTTGACATTTTTGCAGAGCAGCTCCCAAACCCCGGGCTTGATGATTGTGTTTGCCTTGCACTCCTTGTGAGTAAGTCAGTCGCTTTTATAGGTCCTAGCTTTGTCAATGTTTCCTTTAGCTTTTATGATTGCTTCTTTTTGAGCCGTCTCCTCTTTCAGATCTCAAAGCTCCTGGACAAGCGCTTGCAACCTTTTCTTATCTGCCTCAATCTCCAGTTTGTTCAAGTTCATCACCGCGGAGTCAGACATCTGGAAAAAAGCAAAAAGCAAAAGATAAGTCAATAAAAACAACAGTCAAGTATACAGAGAAAAAGGATATAAGAAGTTAAAGAAAAGGAAACACTTACATTTTTGTTGGTGTGTTGGACGAGATGAGGAGGTGAGCACTGAGATCGGGGTGTGTCAATAATCTGATTGGCCAAGAGCTTTGGGTTAGCCAAGCCAGACTTGAGTATGTGCCAAGATCCAAGCCCCACACAAGTTGCCCAATCAAGCCCTTGCGGCACTTGGCCACACAGGACTTGGGATTGTGCCCAGGGTGGCTTGATACACCATATATCACATAGCCCATGCATGCAGGCTAACTTAGTTTATTTTCCTTGCATGACAGCTGCAGCTTACAACATCACATTCACTTGTAAACACAGCAGAGCCTGACCAATCAGAATCACTCTTTCAGCTGGCTGGCTGACCACTTTAACTCTTGTACATGTCTGACCAATCACATTCACAAACTTATATATGTGCTAAAATACCTCATTTAACAGCCCTGACCAGCCAAAATCACTCATTACTGGCTGACCTGGAGCTAAATTCCCTCATTGTTGTCCATATAAGGAGGCTCTCCTCCCAGCTGTTTTCTCCTCAGTGTATTATTCATCAGTCACAGTTGAGTGCCACTCAATCAAAGATACACGACCCTTGCAGAACCTTACCTCACACCAATAAAAACTGAGCTCATTCTCAGCATCACACAAACTCATTCCAGAACTTACCCTATCACTTGATTGAAACTTGCCAAGCTGAGCTTGGTGGGTCTTTTTATCTGATATTATAGAAGGGCAGAGCTTTCACCTCCACCATCCCCTTCTCCATTCAGCAAAAAGGGTCTTACAACCACTTGTTGAGTCTTACACCGTTCCCTCCAGCTTGAAATCCTCATCAATTGTCACCAATGCTCCGTCTTTCCCAGTTCTACTGAGCACTAGGTTCTTTTCAAAAAGTTGGTGAACTGACAGGAGACAGCATTGAGTGCTGGAGCCAACAGCACATTCTCAAGGACCAGTTTCAGTCTGTAGTGATTGAAAAAAACAATCAAACCAATGGCAGAGGTGTTAAGAAAATTCTTGTGACCGCCTGTTGAGATGTGGATATTAGTGTCTGATTGATGGGAGAACACTGCCGGGTTGTTGACCATGTGGTGAGTTGCTCCGGTTTCAAGGACAATAGGTTTGCTTTGCACTTCTACAAGAAGGAGTGATACCTCCAATTCATTTCCAGTGTCCACTTCAATGAGTTGGGTGGCTGGGTTTGAGTTTGCGGGTGGTGGGCCCCATGGTTCGGGTCAAAGTTCTTGGTGGAACTGATGGCAGTGGTCTGCATCATGAGAGGTGGCAGCCAGGTTGTGTGTACCGGTTTTGCATCAAATCTTTGGATAGTTCTTTTCCTTCTTGTTACCTTTGTCTTTCCTGCCTTTAGTAGACTCATGCATTAAGGCCAACGTGACTCCTTCTTCAGCTGGTTTGGAGACTTGTTTAGCAACCTGTTTGGTTTTTTGAATGCACCAAGATGTACCATCTCTTTCTTGCAGATGACTTTGTTCATTATGATGTTGTCTACAATGTTGTAGAAATCCTTGGAAAGCTAAGAAAGGATGGAGAAGCTGAGGATGTTATCCGGGTCACCAAGTTTAAGAAATCTGATCTTGTTGAGCATTTTGTGCATGTCTGTGATGAAACCGGCAAGGGAGCTGCTTTATTCATACCTCATGAATTGGAGCCATACCTGGCCTTTGTTGTTTACCAAGGCTGAGGCAAAGCAAGAGTTGATGCTTTCCCAGATGGAAAAGGGGGCATTGGCTATTCAGAGTGCTTGACCGCTGCTGCTGCTTCAGCAGCTCCTGCATAATTGGCCGGCGCTTCAAGGACATATTGAGAAGCTGCTCATGTCAAAGGTATGTTGAAATCTCATTCAAGGATTGGAGGAAGTTGGTCTCAGTGAGAGTGGGGATGTTGGTCTTAGTATTGGCTTTGTTATTGGCCATTGTGATCCTCTAGATGTTTTGGTGCTGTGTGGGACTGTAAATCTAACAGAATTTTGGCAAAACTAGATATTATGTTTCAGCTATTGAAGGAAAATAAGAAGATCAGAAGAGAAACTGATCACCAGGGGAAATTCCAAGGCACTGGCTGTAAGGACTGGAAATGTCCTTCACTGAGCAGATGGAACCGTGGCACAAGGGACGGGCTGATGAGCCTAGAACATTTCTAAGACCAAACACAGGAGCGCTTTTGTTACTGGCTCAGAGAGATGGAAGGGAAAATCTCTCAGTACAATCTAGAAAAGAGAAAACATGAAGAAAGAGGAATAGAAACTCACCTGGCTCAGAGAGATGGAAGGTATAATCTCTGCAGATACAGGAAGGGAAAGTCAGCAGTGAGCCCTAAGAGCAATGGGTGCCATGTGTATGAGCACCCAGACAAAGGAGGGGGGTTTAAAGTCTCCCCTCCTATAAAAAAAATTAAAGGAAGGAAAAAATAGAAAAGAAGGGGGAAGGGGGGAAGGGAAGGAAGTAAAGGTGTTTTTATGAGCAAGAACGGGGCGGGGTGATGTGAAAGAGTG